GACGAAGATGGGATGGGATTGAGCAATCTTGATTAAATTTTGGTGCACAGGCTCATACTATCATGCCATGAAATCAATTAGAGTTTCTAGTGATGGGGATGCATAATCACAGAGAAAGTTTGCCAAACAATCCAATTTCAATAGTGGCTATGGAGTCATACTAATTACCTGAAACAGTCACCTATTAGGTTTTTACCAGTGAAATGTGGTAGGAAAACTCCTAAAGATGTGTAGAAAAATACAGCAAAGTTTAGAGTTCAAGATGAGGCATTGCAGAGAAAACTTTCCAAATGCCCAAAGAATTGGGGAAGAGGCTGGCACCATTGAAGGCACCGGTTTTCTTTTCTCTTCACCTCAAGCTGCTTCACAACAGGGCCAATGTTAAGAGTTTAACTGCAAGGCAGTGCCAAGAACCTCAGGAGGCAATTTCAACAAGTTGTTTGTGAGTATTTGATCCATGGAGGGTAATTAGGATGCTTACCATGTATCAACTAGATGCATGCATCAGTCTGTTGCATGAAGCTGATACCGGGTGCAGCAGCTTAAAGTAGACGAGGTTCTAAGCTAATAACTCGGGAACGCAGTGTACTACAGCCTTGCAATTTTCAACATTAATCTGTTAGCATGTGTACATGCTTACTCAGGAATATTGTTCAATATGAAACAACAAACAACATCCTGGAGACGTTGATGAAAGCCTTCACAAACCAACACCTCCCAGACTTCCTGACGATGGACGAGTGGCCGCCCTCCTCGCCCAACCTCAACCCCCTGGACTACAACTTGTGGTCATATCTCGAGCGCAAGGCCTGTGCTAAGCCCCACTGGAGTTTGGAGAGCCTGAAGAAATCCCCGAGGAAGGAGTGGGCTGCCATCCCAGAGGGCCATGTGCGTGCCGTTTGTGAAGGCTTTCATCAACGTCTCCAGGATGTTGTTTGTTGTTTCATATTGAACAATATTCCTGAGTAAGCATGTACACATGCTAACAGATTAATGTTGAAAATTGCAAGGCTGTAGTATACTGCATTCCCGAGTTATTAGCTTAGAACCTCATCTACTTTAAGCTGCTGCACCCGGTATCAGCTTCATGCATCAGACTGATGCATGCATCTAGTTGATACATGGTAAGCATCCTAATTACCCTCCATGGATCAAATACTCACAAACAACTTGTTGAAATTGCCTCCTGAGGTTCTTGGCACTGCCTTGCAGTTAAACTCTTAACATTGGCCCTGTTGTGAAGCAGCTTGAGGTGAAGAGAAAAGAAAACCGGTGCCTTCAATGGTGCCAGCCTCTTCCCCAATTCTTTGGGCATTTGGAAAGTTTTCTCTGCAATGCCTCATCTCGAACTCTAAACTTTGCTGTATTTTTCTACACATCTTTAGGAGTTTTCCTACCACATTTCACTGGTAAAAACCTAATAGGTGACTGTTTCAGGTAATTAGTATGACTCCATAGCCACTATTGAAATTGGATTGTTTGGCAAACTTTCTCTGTGATTATGCATCCCCATCACTAGAAACTCTAATTGATTTCATGGCATGATAGTATGAGCCTGTGCACTAAAATTTAATCAAGATTGCTCAATCCCATCCCATCTTCGTCGTGCTTTTTTTCTTGGTGATGAGTTTATATATTGTCCAGCTCTATATAAAACCTTTCTGAAGCTCTTTTAAGATTTTTGGCTGATTCCTTAAAACCAGAATGTTTCTTCATCCCATTCTTTGACAGGACTGTGAGAAATATGTCGAAGCCCTATTAGCTCTGTTCAGGCGGTTCAGTGACCTTGTTCATCGTGCATTCTCTGATGATCCTCGCTTCCTCACCTCCCGTGACAAGGCCTTCAAGTTTGTCGTCAATGATACCACTGTCTTTGGCCTTGAACTCTCCACTCGACTGGTGAGATGTCCTTCACTGCTCTCCGTTTCTTTTAGCTGACTAGACTCTTTTGTCTATGTCTTCTTTCCACTGCTTCCAGCAATTATAACCAAAATTCTAGGATAATACACTGCTCAAAAAACTGATGCCACCTGAATTTCCAAAGCTTTGGCACTACCTTGGTCAAAATGATTGCTACTGATGTTGAGATATAATGCACCAATAAAACTGGCATGCAAATTAAGATAATGTGGTGAGTCAACTAGAATAGTGTATTGTGCATGGGGAATGGATCATGGACATGCAAAGATCTGTAATAGAGAAGTGTTTTGGTTCAACTTACAGAATGATTCCTGGCATGTTCATATGTAGTGAGAGCCAGGAAGTTGCTACTGACTAGCTTCAGCAACAGAAAAGGAGTGCTATGGTTGTGGTGGTGGTGGGGTCGTTCCATGTTAAATCAACACAAAAAAAAAGAAAAAAATTGACTTGATCCCCTCTGATTTCCTTGAAATTTGCTGAGCTTGTAGGGGCTATTGAAAAACCATTCCATGCCAAATTGCAGCTCTCTACCTCAAGTACTTCCAGAGATGTAGGTATTTGAATGTTTTCAAAAAGTTACCAATTTTGAGGTCTTAGAGGCCAAAAGTATCGGATGTATGAACTGGCCTGCAAGATCACCAGACTTCAAATCCAATAGAACTTGCTTGGGATGCCCTTGCATGATTCAATGACATATTGTGAGCCAAAATTAGCCACCATACTCCATGGGGTAACCACCATACCCCTGACCTCTGGTAGGAGTGAGGTAAAATGCAGCAGGAACTCCTCAACACATCAGTTAGGAACATACCACATCACTTTCAGACCTCCATTGCTGTCCATGATGGTGTCACTTTGTATTCATGCTATGGGTGGGAAAAGGTGAGACATTCCACTAGTTGGTGTGTAAATAATAAAAAATTTGTAGATTAATTAAGTTATAATAAGTTATAAGATTAGACAATCCTAATTTTCATACCAATTTTATTTGTGTATTATATCTGAACATGATTAACTATTATTTTTACTCAGTGGGTTACCAGAGCATTGAAAACACGAGTGACTTTTTTTTATTTGTTTGAGTAGTGTATGCCATTATCTGCACATGAATAATGAGGATCATCTGATTTGTAGTGTAATGTATTCCCCATTGGATGAACACATGGAAATATTCCTTCAGTGGAATTTCACTATTTGAAAATTTTTCACCAGGCCCATGTGAAACCTGCAAGTATGATAGGGTGTATGGTTCTATATGGCCATATGTGGTCATATATTTGCAATAAAATCTCTTGGGCTTTCTCATACACCACCACATATGTATTCATATATTATAGATTGTATTGTATTGTATCATACATCTTATCTGTATCAAAAAATCAAATTCCCTGGGGGCTTATATACAATTTTCATGTGTGAGGGCTCTATCCATATTTCCTTGGGGTGAAGTAGACTACAGTATCATTCTCTGATGGATTGTGATGTAAATACAGGTTGGTTATCAGAATTGTAAATATTTATGAATGGTAAGATTTGAGGCTATGTAGGTCCAAACCAACAAATATACATTGCATGTCAATTGAAGTGGATATTTTGTATTTTGGGCATTTGAAGAATTCTGCTGTTGCCTGTTATTAAAATGTGTAAAAACAGAAGAAATGTTCATAATTTGCAATCCTGTAGAATTGTAAATATTTTGGAAGGAATTTCTTGTCATTCGTTTCACAACAAAAATGCATTCAATTTACTTTTAAATGAGAAAATCTAAAGTATCCACTTCAATTGATGTGTAGTGTATAAGTATATACCTTGGTAAAGTGTCCTTGAATTAGGTAGTTCCATGCTCATATATCACTTAGATTTCTGTTTGTTTTTCTTGATTCCTGTCAATCATTATTGTTCATCCAACGTATTGGGGAAACATGGCTCTTCACACCTCAGCCTGGTATCTCCATGCCTTCCCTTTGACACAACAGCTGTCAAGTTTAAACTGTGATCCTGATCTGATGAATCATTCATCACTTTCATATTCAACCTTGGTTGAATCTTGAGGGTGGCCACCAAAGGTGAAAAAGTTCTGTAGCCTGGCTTCCAGGTTTTTATTTTTGTTTTTTATTATTCAAGACAATGCAGTTCACACATAAATCAACAAATGGAACAATAAATGGACTTCTCTGCTCAATGTGTACCTAACAGCACCATTTTTACGAGAAAGATGTATGGGGCTGTTAGAATACTGAGTTTGGCCTCCATGAGAAAAATGAAGAAAGTAAAAGGAAGTAAGAGGGGAAAGACACAGGAAATAAGTGGAAATGGAAATTCAGGAAGATTGAGTTAAGAGAAAGCTGTATGGACAATTGGTGTAGCCCTTAGGATGGTGAGATATTGATTTTTGAGTGAAGAAACATATGATGTCATGGTTCCTTGTGGCACAAGAAGACAATGTGTATACAGGCTCAATCATTAATCCTTCATTATTGACCACTGTGTGTAACAGATGTGTGCAGTATATATATTGATGTTGCATATGCTTTCATCTTGTATGTATTCTTTTGACCTTGGTCCAGTACTCTTCTATGCAGATGAAACTTTCAGTCAATTGTAACTCTGCTAAGGTAGTTATGTATGTGTGCCCACTGTTGTGCTTCTATGCAAGATTGTGGCCTGCATTAGGACCAGACCTCCCCTAGGTCCTACAGGCTTTTAACACTTGCATCATAGCCACTTGGAGCTGCAAATGACTGGATACTTTCTTGGCACAGTTGGTAATGCAACTCTAATGCAGTCGATGATTAACTTAACTTAATTCTACCTATATTAAAGTGCATCACTTCATGTTTTGAATCTTCAGTGGGCTACTGCACTTTGTTTTAAAATAAAACTAAGGACCACAACTTTAGTGGTTGAATTATGAACTGAAGGGTATGTTATGCCATTGTTAAGCAGTGTACTCAAATGGCTAGGCTGTATTCAGACTGGAAGTGATAATTTGCCCCATCTTTGCATTGAAAGCAATCCTAAAATGGTGACGAAATATGCTATTTATAAATAATGTGCTGTATGATAAATTGAAATGTGACTCAGTTTTTAAATATTTAGAAAAAAGGATTTGTTGCATATCTGTATGTACAGTTCATTTTCTGTTTGCAAGTATAAGCAGCAGGTACCTACAAATACCCATGCTCCTTTGAGCAACATAATTATTCCCTCTATCTTGACAGATGCCAAAGCAGACTGGAGAAGCAATTAGAATGATGCCAGAGTTGGGAGCTATGAGAAGAAAAACAGGATTTATCATTTTACATTCAGCAATCAGCATTCAACAAAAAGAACATCCTGAATAATGAGAAACATGAAGAATCTATTATTAAAGAAATCATGCACATACTTCACAAACACTGGCAGTTTGAGAATGGATTGGCTGTGACTTAACACTGCAATTTCTTTTTGCATCATTCACTTCTAGTGGCAATGAGTCGGCCATCATTTTTCACCCATGCACAATGATGTTAGAAAGCAGACTGACTTGAAAAGCTTGAATTCAGCTACCCTGTCTCCCCATTATCCCTTCTCTGCCAGCACACCTAATCAAGGGTTATCACTTGGCAAGAAGCTCATCATGGCCTTTTGTACTTGCTTATTGAATCATTCCATTAACTTCCCTTGGGTGGAGATAACAACACATGCAAGTAGCAAATAGACTATATGTAATGTAATTTTAAAAACTAATTAATTAAATTAATTAAATATAGCTATGGATCACTACATCCAGAATGACCTGGTTTTACCTTTTAAGTTTTGCTAAATTCCTATAGGTTCCAGGTGAGTTTACGCCCTTGAACCCCTAATGTCACTCAGCCTCCAGACTCCACCAAGGACTTCAATAGCCCCCTGATACCCCAATTTTCAGTGCTCATCACAGGTGTGCTCTGCTCACCAGCTCCACTTGGAAGCTGCTGAACTTTTCCTGTCAAAGAAGGTCATGATCCTCTAGCAAAGAGCACATGATGGATACAGATTAGATTCTTTTGCATTAATGTTGACTTCTAGTCCAAAACTCCACATTGGCTCAGCATACATAGTGTTGGATGCAACAACATAGTTATGAATGGAATGTAATGAGCTTAATGTGCTGCAGTGGTGTGAATCCAGCCAATGTATTAAGCGAATTTATTGATGTTCTGACATAGCAGTGTCTATGTCTTGGAAATATGATCTTATATGATGTTTCAGAGGAAATCACAACCATTTATTCACTCACTTTCTACATTCATAATTTTTAGATAGATCTGATAGAGATATGTGACAGGGATGTGGTAGCTTTAAAAAATGTACTAAGTAATTATGGCTTCTAATGTTAAGGATGTAATGAAAGATATCTTTTGAAGAAAGATGGATAGGAGGAGTGTTTGTGGCAATAATAAATAATATTTCAATGAAAACAGGGATAACAATGTATAAATGGTGGAGGATCATGGGTCTGGAATGTAGAGAACGTGCAGCTTAGCAGGCTAAAAGACTTTGGGACGATGATAGAGTGATGAACTATGGGGCAAGCCTAGACAAAAATATCTGGAAGGGAATGAAGTGTGAAAATAGTCAGGAGGCACCTGCAGTTGGGGAAGAGGCAGGAGACAAAGAAAAGGCAATTTCCCTTTATGTGACTCCTACTACTACTACTAGGAGGAGGGAGGAGGGGAGGGATGAATGGGCATGAAGGCCATGTGAAGGGCATATGCAGCCTTATCACAGATAGATGATAGACCTCATATTAGTACAGGAAATTTTGGGATCCAGACATATACTGGATGAAGCCAAAAATATGCACTGCCCTTAGATTATTTGGTGTTTGAGACAACAGATATCACAGTAAATATTATTATTATTATTATTATTTACCAGCTATTGTCGCACCTTCGGCGCGCCGTTACCAGGATAGTGATTCATTCAATAATTTATTTTAAAAGCGGTTAAAACCTATTTAAAAAAGTATGTGCCCATTGGAATGCGTATTGAGAGAGAACAAACCAATATTTTCATCGGAATAATTACTCACATTGTTTCTTGTGTGCCTTCTTTCTTGTGTTTCTTGTGTGTAACTCCAAATCTCTTCATAATCCGCCCTGATGGGTCATATTTGAAAAGTAGGACATGTACTCAGCAATTGAACAGGTACTTCTGCTCAAAGTTTCAACTTTCTTTAGTTCTCTCCTTCATTGAATCAGAAAAGTATCCAGAAAAAGCAAAAAAAAATATGCACCCAGGGCATGTATCCAAAACTTGACAGTTTTCCTGAACTCAGAGTCTCAGCAGGTATGTCCATGTCACATTTCAGCTTTCCATGTTTATTCATTTGACTGATGCAAAATAAAATATTTGAAAATATCTCCCCCTGAAATTTGTGCCCCCATGGCATTTACCTCCAAAGCCTGAATTTTTCTGAATTCAGATTCTCAAAAGGTACTTATGTATCAAATTTCACCTTTCTATCTCTGGCCAATTTGCTAGGACAAAAAAAAAATTATTTGAAAATGTCACCCCCCAAAAGTATATCCCCAGGGCATGCATCTGAAACTTGACATTTTCCCTGAAATTTGTGTCTCAGTAGGCACGTCCATGCCAAGTTTCAGCTTTCCATGTCTCTCTGTTTGACTGAAGCAAATAGAGGGGGAGATGTTTTCAATGATATATATATCATTGAAAACATTTCCCCCCAAAATGGGAGTCCCCAGGGCATGTACCTCCAAAGTCAGATTTTTTCTGAACTCTGCATCCCAAAAGGTACATGTGTACCAACCAAGTTTCATATTTCTAACTTCTCTAGAACATGGTTAGAATTAGCGTCAGTCTGTCAGTCACGACCGTCTGTATATATTTCATTTAATACTTCTACTTATCTTCTAAACTAAAACAAAATTTGTTGGTTTACCTCTAGCTGTTTTACTTCACCTGGGATTTTTCAAAATTAACTTGAATTTTTTTCTTGTACTCACTGTAACATTGACCTCTGGACTTGCAGCAGCAACTAAGAGTCACAATTCTTTTAAAGGCTTTTTCCCCCTATATTTCAGAATCCACTAATCAGATCTCTTTGACTCATCCCAGTTTCTTTGGCAATTTGCAGCTGGAACCTTTTGGAACTTTTGCATACTTGTATCTTCATCTGGAGACACAGGACTTCTTCCACTTTTATTTTTTATTGAGTCTTGGCTAATTTTGATGTTCTGCTCACTCATTTCTCAGATGAACTAGTTCCTCATAGCTTATGATCAATCTTTTAGTAGTACATTTATTCTATCCTTTTGGAGAAATTGTGGTACAATGCTTACCCTGCCCTTTCCTGTTAATCCTTTTCCTCATGTGAAAGTAAAATTTGAGTTGCTTTTGTATATGGCTTACTTGGTAATATGGCTGGGGAGAAGCATACAAGAATTTTAGCATGTTTAAAGGATAGAAGGAAATAATTACAAAATAAAACTTTGTTTTATCTGCTATATCAAAATCCATGGAATTTCAAAAGACAGTATGCTGTTTGTCTCATCTGGCACATTGGATTTTTGTTTACTGTCAATGGCACTGTGTTTAGCAGGCTTACATATATTCCTTTAATTTCAGTGCTCATGTCCCGAGTTTTGAGTGGTTGAGAGAATTCAATTGTTAATAATGTGGTCAAGCATGAGTGTGTGGTGATCCATCATGAATCCACAATTTCTCTTCCCTTAGGCAATATAAAGCTCTATCCTAATTCCTAAGGAATTATGATTGCAGTTTTCTATTGCAGAAAGGTCAAGGTGGGAAGCCATTGCCTGAGAGCAAGTGCCCAGAACTCCTGGCCAACTACTGTGATATGCTGCTGAGGAAGACTCCTCTGAGCCGAAAACTCACCCCTGATGAAATTGAGTCTCGTCTCCGTGATGTTGTGAGTTTCTATTTTTTCCTCATGCAGTTTCTTAAACAGAGATGTGGGTCAGCTTCTCTCAATTGTGTGGGACTTTTCCTGTCCACAGTTGCTAGTCCTGAAGTACGTCCAAAACAAAGACGTGTTCATGCGCTACCATAAGGCCCATCTCACAAGGCGCCTCATCCTTGACACCTCATCTGACTATGAAAAGGAGGAGAACATGGTCGAATGGTGAGATTATCTTTAAACAATTTTTCCAGTCCCTGGCAATGGCAGATTCAAGTGGGGCTCAAGGAGTCCATAGTCCTCATTTGTACCTTGCAAAGGGGTTCAGAACTAGCTTAGACTGAAGAAAGAAATCCTCAAATATGACTGGAAATTAATTTACTAAAGTAGGATCCTTATTTAATTCACATTGGTTGAGATGCAGACTTTGAGGCTCTTTGCTGCCACACTATCCCTTGCTCCAATCTCTCCATCTTCTCCCACTCTTTCAACTTCTCTTGCATTATTTATGTACAAGGAGCAATCTTACAGTTCCCATTATTAACCCTTTAATAAAGAATTTAAAGATGAAAATTGAGCCCAAGTTTACTTCTGGATCAGATTTTGCAGATATCTTAGGAATTTCACATTTTCTGCTGGGGATTGTGAAATACAGGGTGGGCCAAAAAAAAAAAAACCGCCCCAAATTTGAAGCTTAATAACTTGGGCCCCATTGGGCCAATATCAAATTTAAAAAAGCAAAATGTAGCTTGTTCAGTTTTCTTTTGAATGATATATAATTTTTGGGGGTTTGCTTCAGAGAAATGGCCACTATTACAGTTTTTAAAAAAAGGGATGAAAAAATTCCCTGAAAACAGCTTTCCTGAGTTCTTTCCAATGTTGCTGCAGTCGCCTGTTTCTCCCGTGCACCCCCTCCTCCCATGCGCCCCTGCATTATATGGATTGGTTGATGAGAGATCATGCGATCACGAGGCGAGTAACACGATGAAATCTTGGGCACTGATGAACATTGATTTGAACTATTGATTCAGAGATCTTGAGCAAACTGACTCTTATTGATGTTGCAGCTTTTGTGTCATTTCATTTGCTGACTTCACTCAACCTTTGAGACTGAATTTTAACCCCCTCAGATTGTTGCTTTAAACTTTTCAGGATTAAAAATTCATCAGCATGGGCTTAAGTGATAGTGATAAGTGCATAATCCAACCGCTACATGAAGAAAAAGGCTACTCGTTGGGCAGAATTCTTGCTGAATTCCCAGATCGGCAGTGAAAGAAATCAACTGTTAAGGACTTCCTCAGAAAGTTACGTGATCATGGAAGTGGAACATACTGTCCTGGAACTGGTCGTCCAAAAAGTGCACACACTCCTGAAAACACTGAAGTCATTCATGCACTGATCTGCAGTCAAGAAGGAACAGTACCAGTACCAGTCAAAGTGTGCGTCTCATTTCAAGAACTGGAATATTGCATTCTTCCATTTGGCGAATTGCAAAAAAGGACCTGAAACTGAAAACATTTAAAAGAGTGACTGTACAACAGTTGTTGCCAGAAGCTAGGAAAAAACACCTAAAACACTGCCAGAAACTCTGGAATCGTTTCTGATCTGATGCTGCTGAGAAGTGCTGTAGAGAAAATCTGGTTCTCTGATGTGAAAAGATTCACTGTGCAAAGCCCTCGCAATTCACAAAATGACTGCGTTTATGGGGCTGTGGATACCAAGCAAGATATTGCTGCTGCCAGACTGCTATGGGAAAGAGGTCATTTCTCTGATTCAGTCATGGTGTTAAAGGCTGTTTCTGCCAAAAACAAATCAAGAATTCTTTTCATCAAATGTGGTGTGAAAATCAACTCAAAAAGCTATTGTGAAGACATTTTGGGTGTGCCAGGAATTGAGGACCAGATGGTGGACTACACCTTTATGCAGGATGGAGCTCCTGCCCACTGTGCTAAAGACTAGAGATCGACCGATACTGGATTTGACCAATTTTGCCGATTCTGATATTGGCCGATATATGAAGCCGATAGCCAATACGATATTTGCCGATATTTCAGCATAAAACCATATTAAAGATTCATCAGCACCGCTTCATTTACTTCAAATTTTCCCGGATGAAGAGCAACTTTTCAGCATTTTCCTGATCTCCCTTTCATAGAATATCTCATGAAATACTCCTGTAAGATGTATGCATACCAGCATGAAATCTTCTAAGAGGAATTCTTAAGCATACCTTGGTTGTGATTCAGGAATTACCTTCTTTATCCATTGTTCTCAACCAAAGGTCATGAATTCTATCTTATTGAGGAAGAACTTGTTAGTTTTCATACACCTGGGATGAGAGGGGTACCATGTTTTCTGCCTGCTGAACATGCAGTGCTGACTGTTGCAGTCCTACTGGTGATGGATCAGAAGCAGGTCTTGAACCTAGACCCACAACATCGCCCATGGGGCCTTGCTTTCCACTTGGTTGGCTTGCAGGCTGCTTTAAATTTCCGTATCTTCCTCCCTTCTTTCCTTTCATTTCTCACTTTGGCAACTAATGACCTCAAGCTAACATTTACGTGACAAAGAACGGTTTCTTAGAATCTTTATCCACTCGAAAAAATCTCCACGAATTTTGGTGTAGGGAGATCACCATTCCAACTCGTCCCCCCCTCCAGTCCAATTTTCCCGTTCACTTATTTGACAAGAACAGAAATGTGTATGAGACACTCTGGATCTGGTTACTTAACGAATTGGGTAAGCGACAGGCAAAATTTTAGAAAGGGTGCTTGGTCACTTTTTCTCGACATCTGAGACTGACTCGGTATCGATGTCTGCATCGCGAAAGAGTATGGTTCTCTCGTGGTTGAACAAGGGCGGCGGGTCTTCAGGACAGTTTAGGCCAACGCTCATGCAACATTTTAGCCTACGTTTTAGAACCTGGTTAAATGGAATGTAACGTAAGGCAGCAGGCCAAAAATTATATACTAGAGCTTAATCCTTGGACAAGGTCAGGAAACGGCAGGAGTCCCCCTTCCCGTGTCTGCAAATTAAATGAACAGCCCTCGTACTTTCGGACAATCAGCAAAACCTAACCCTTAGGGCGAAGGTCTATCATTTTAGCTGTTGAATTTCCCGTAGCCGTGAATACGCCTAACTTCTGTGTACGAGAATAAGAAAGGAAGCAGAGCAAAACACTTGCAGTTCCTCGCCTCTCGATGATGCCATATTGGCCAGAACACTAATACACCAAGGTTTCCATCTGGAAGCAGAAGAGCTAGTCCTAGTAATATTTTCTTGCACTGGAAGATTATACAAAACTGTATTATTGATATCGGCTAAAATCGGAATGCATGAAAGAGCCGATGTGAATACTCACCGATATGCATATATCAGCTGATTTATATCGGCAACAGATATATCGGTCGATCTCTACTAAAGACACCCTGCAGTTTCTCATGTCAAATGCCCAAGCTTCATCGAACCTGAACTGTTGCCTCCAAACAGTCCTGATTTGAACCCAGTGGATTACTTTGTATGGAGTGCACTGGAAGAAAAAAAGTCTACCACCATTGCCAACTCAATCAAGATTCCATCGCAGCAGCCATCAAGAAGTAGAGAACAAGGTTGCAGGCTGTTGTAGATTGTGGAGGAGGGCACATTGAACCATTTTTGGGTCATTAAAAGGGTCTGTGTGCATGTGAGTGATAAATTTGAGGTTGAGGAAATGGAACTTGGAGTAAAAGCCCATTTTCAGGAAATTTTTTCTTTGCTTGTTTAAAACTGTAATAGTGGATATTTCTCTGAAGCAAACCCCCCAAAATTATATATCATTCAAAAGAAAACTGAACAAGCTTCATTTTGCTTCTTTAAAAATTGATATTGGCCCAATGGGGCCCAAGTTATTAAACTTCAAATTTGGGGCTTTTTTGGCCCACCCTGTATATGAAGGGCTGAAAGGCAAAGTGGTCTATCTGCAATAAATTTCTGAAAAAAGTGTTGCTGGTTTTGTGCTCATAGGACCTTGTTCCTTTCATAGAAAATTATAGTTTTTGGAATTAAGTAAAGGTTGAAGTGATCTATTGATACATACCATTTTTTCACTTTTAAAATGATGGTCACTGGAGTATTCACTCATTCTGTGTGGAACTTCAAAAAATAATTTTTTGCAGATAGACCACTTTGCCTTTTAGCCCTTCATATGTTCTTCCACTTACAAGATTTTGTTGCACAATTTAAGGGAAGAAGGTAGTGAAATACAGAAATTTAATTCTATCTGTCCTATTCTTTTTTGAAACTGTTAAGTATTAAATTCATCACCAATTAAGATTTGCCCTATCACAAAGGAATGTCACATTCATCACCAGAATATATGCCTTTGTCATTTAATTTGCATCACTAAATTCCTGTTGTCTGCACCCTATGATTTCACCCCCAAACCCATCAATTGACCAATATCCTCCTTTATGCTTTTCATTGGATGTCATGAACTTACCACTACAACTGCTTTTTCAAAAAACTGGAGTAAGATTTTGTGCTACATAGATTGACCATGGGTTGAGAAAAAAAGCTTAAAAAAATAAAGTTTTTGAGCAGAAGCATACACACTTTGTAGGGTAGCAGGGCTGAATACTCAGTGCACTTGCCATAACATCTTGTAATTTCATCTCATTATCACACATTGATCCTTAAGAATACTGTAATCTTGAAATGGTTGAAACTGCTGAAAAAAGTTTGATTGTGGAAGCATATATTTAGTGTGAACTTGTGTAGATTGGGAATTGTAACACTTATAACCCTTTTACTACAGCTCCTGAGTATACTTGATTTTTATCATCACTCTCAGCCATGGTCACGACTATAACTCAGCAGTGAAAGTGTTAATGATGAGGCCATCTTTGTTGAAAACAAAAATAAATTTTGCTGACTGGCTGTGATTTTGTGAAGATTCATTATAATCTGGCTATGGAGCAACATTTTTGGTGGCTGAAATAATTTGGTAATGAATTTATTACTATTGGTGTGATCGGTGTATTATTACTATTTATTACTATTAGTGTGGGACATGTCAACAATTATAAATTGACACTTCCCTTAGAGGTACAATGTATGCAAAATTTCTGTGCTCTTGGTTCATTTTTCATTGTGTAATTGTCAAGTTTCACATGTGAAAACTGGTTTTGGAATAAGCTTATATATTGCATCATTAATTCTGGAGCTATGAAATTGAACCAAGAAAATTATACT